GTTCCTTGTATGTTATTTGTTGCTTTTCTCTCGCTAATTTTAATATTTCTTCCTTATCCTTAATTTTGTCTGTTTGATGACTACGTGCCTTGGTATGTTACTGTTTGGGTGGATCCTGTGTGGAACTCTCTGTGCTTCCTGGACATGGGTGACTGTTTCCTTTCCCAGGTTGGGGCAGTTTTCGGTTATTATCTTTCCAATAATTTTCTCAGGTCCTTTTTCTTTCTCTTCTCTCACTGGGACCCCTATAATGTGAATATTAGTGCACTTCACGTTGCCCCAGAGTTCTCTTAAACTATCCTCATTTATTTTCATTTTTTTTTCTTTTCTGTTCTGAGGTAGTGATTTCCACTAATCTGTCTTCTTCTAGCTCAAGGGTTCGTTCTTCTGCCTCATTTAGTCTATTTTTGGTTCCTTCTACTCTGTTATCCATTTCACAAATTTAACTCTTCAACTCTGTTTGGGTATCTTTTGTTTTCCAACTCTTGGTGAAAATTTCACTCCTATTGAGTTGTCTGATCATCTTCATCATTACTTTCAATTCTTTCTCAGATGAATTGCCTATCTCCTTGTCACTTACTTCTTCTGGGTTTTTACCTTGGGCCTTGGCCTGGGAGATACTCCTCTGCTGCCTTGTTTGTCTTTCTATTTGTGCTTTTAGGTGGGTTAGTTACATTCCTCAACCTTGGAGAAGTGGCCCTCTGTGTGAGACATCCTATGTGTCCCAGCAGTACAGTCCTCTCTTGTCACCCAAGGGCCGGGGTCTAGCCTGTCCCAGTGCAGAGTCTGGCCTGTGTTTGTGGATTCCTTCCTCAGGCTTTGGGATTGTTTTCTTATTTCTGTCATCTGTCCCCTGATGGATGAGGCTGGACTAAAGGCTTATACAGGCTTCCTGGCAGGAAGGGTCAGTGCCTGCCCACTGCTGGGTGAAGCTTGGTCCTGGACCTCTGGTGGGTCGGGCTGTGTCTAGAGGCCTTCGTGGCTTAGGAAGTCTGCTGACAGGTGGGGCTGTGTTCCCACCCTGTGTGTTGTTCGGCCTGAGGCTTCCCTACAGCCTGTTGGGTGGGGCTAGGTCTTGGTGCTAATGATCCAAGCAAGGTGTCAGCCTCCAGGAAAGCTCATGTAGATGAATGCTCCTAGAATGCCTGCCGCCAGCCTTTATGTCCCCTGGGTGAGCCGCAGCCATTCCCTAACTCCTCAGGAGACCTTCCAAAACTGGCAGGCAGGTCTGGCCCAGGTTCCTATGAAATCACTGCCTCTGCCCCTGCCCTTGGGCCTAGAGCATGCAAGATTGTGTGTATACTTCCCAAGAGAATGAAGTCTGTTTCCCCCAGTCCCATGGGGCTCCTGGAGCAAAGCCTCTCTGACCTTCAAAACCAGAGGTCCTGGGGTCTCCTCCTTGGGGTGGCCCAGATTCTTATTTCCAGCCTAGCCTCATGTATACTCAAAGACGGCACTTTGTAAGACAATGCCACAGTAACAGTAGTAGAAAATTGATGGTTATTTACACTATGCACACATATTAACCTGTTGACTATAGTGAGGGTACAGAAGATGAACAGTATAAACTGCTTGTTGAAATTCAAGTGGGCTGGACTAGAGCAAGGAGTTTTTTGCGTGTCTGCTGTGGTCTACGTGAACTCTTGTTCTGAAAGTAACATGTCTGTACCCAAATGAAGTAAAAAAAAATGGTAAAAAGTGTTTCCCTACAGAAGTCTGGTTTCAGTTTTAAGTGGGAAATAGAAGCGTGATAGAAGAAGAGGAAGCTGGGTTTTCTTTTACCAAAGAAAATGCTATAAAGTTGCTAACGCTGTTAAGAGACACTTAATGCCAATTAATAGAGATAAGTTGAAGGTCTTAAAGAAATACTGAACTAGTGTAAATCCCTCTGTATTTTCAACACCCGAAAACAGGTTCATACTTTACCTGCCAAATTAAGAATTAATTTGGACTTGCATCGATTCAGTTGTAAACTGTCTCCCTCCGTTTAAATGTAGCCTATATGCTCTGCGTAGCTTGAAGAAATAAATTTGTTGATTTTCCTGTGGGCATTAGCTGCGTTAGGTCCCTTACTAGTATATTTGACAAACGAAAGGTAGTGTCATCTCTGGGCAGCTGTTTTTCACCATCAGTATCCCCAGGGGATAGGACACATGTTTTTAGGAGAAGGAATTATCATTGTTAGATGTCTAAGTCAAAACTGATTTAAATTTAGAGGACAAAGTGAAGTTCAGCAGCACAAAGGCTTTAATCCTTTCTGCTACTGTTACCTTTAATGGGAGCAGAAAGGATTAAATGAGATCATGCGAAAAGCCCTGGCACATAATGCTCAATATGAGTTTATTTAATCTAGTTTGGAGCTTTGTATTCATCATTTCTCAGTAGTGCCTAAGAGCATGGACTCTAGAGCCAGATGCCCAGTATTTTTATTTAAAAAAAAAAAAAAGAAGTCTTAACTACTTCCAAGCTTGTGACCTAGACAAACTACCCAATTGTTAGTCTCCTTGTATAAATGCAAGGTTAATAGTACTGCTTTATAGTAGCACTTTATAGGGTTACTAAGTTTAAGTGAGATCATATATTGAAACATGATGCCTGGCACAGAGTAAGTGCTCAGTAAAATTGAAACATTAATTCAAAAACAGAAAAACAAAACCAGTTCCCTGCGAGCTTACAGCCTAGAGACATGTCTGACCTGGGATAAATGGCCTCATTATGGGTATTTTTGTCATTCAGACTTCAATAAAAGGAGCGCTAGCAGCTGTGAACCAGTTGCTTAAACTCTGAGCTTGTTCCCTTTTTCTAAAATGGAGCTGATAGCTTCCTTAGCATTTGTTTTTTAGTTCATTCATTTTTTGGATGAGGATTAACTGGTACAAAGTATGTGAAAGTGTTCTGCAAATGTAAAATTAATATTTGAAGTAAGTGGTAAAGCAATAATGTATATACCTACTGGTGCCATACCTGGTATTTCTGCCTTGTACCTCAGGATGCTGGGAAAGGAGGTTTGTTACTTACACGCTTGCAAGTGACTGAGGGTAGCAGCAGTATTTTCCTTGTTCACATCATCAATATTCATCATATCGTAGGTACCTAGCAAAAACTTGATGCACGTATGACAGGTAAGGCAAACTTGGTTTTAAAAATACAATACCGCTTTCTTAGTGATGGAGGTCATGTCGAGAAAAGAGTATTTATAGGCGGGTCTGCTTTTTAGATCATCCAGTTCAGATACGACCTGAACAGATGCTTTTGGAAATAGTGTGCACATGTACAGAATAAGCTGGTTTACCACTTACCCCTTATGCCTTTCTTGTCTATGAGGTGCAGCATTGCTATGGTGTTTGCTAAATATTTATGCCGTTTTCTGGGGGAAAGAGTAGACTTACAATTAAATACGGTATGAATGTTGACTAGGTGACATTTGTTTATATAAAATGTCATTTTTCATGATAAAGACTTAGATTTGGAGATGCCTTAGGCATGCATTCTTCCTTCCCTTAGTACCTTTGCAGAAACTGGCACATGACCATTTAAGGCATGGATGGGATAGCCTTTGGGTCTTTGACACCAGGATTAAGCACATTTTGAATTTATGCCATATTAGCATGCAACCGTTGCCACATCGACATTTAAATGTCCACTTGAGCATTGTTAAGCTTCCTGAAGTGATAACTCTACCTTCATTTGAAGGAGACGGGGGAAAAAAGGAGGAAAATTTGAATTGCATGAGTTTCATAAAAGCATGTTGGAGTCATGTAATGAAAAAGCAGATTTTTTTTATTATGATGTTTCTCCATATTTGGCGTTGCTGTAAATGGCTAGCTAACATTTACTGCCAATTCAGTACAAATGTGTGGTTCAGTAATACCAGAACAGCAAATTTAAATGAAAAAGAAAAGTTAAACATTTCCACACAAGATTTTACATTTACAGTCTGACGTTTCACTGCGTAGGTAAAAAGACTTTTTTTTTTAACTGCAGATTATTCAGCATGAATAAAAAACTACAACTTTTATTTTTAAACAGGAGTCACTGGTTTTAATTCTTACACATTTTAAAATTACTGTGATAAAAAATAATGAAAAAGCTTCTTAATAATGCCATACACAGTATAATATAGATTTGTCCCCATTATATAGCATTTGTTTAATATACAAAATAGAATATTGACACACTTGACTCTATATGTAGGTAAGCAAGTTATTTGAGGAGGGTAGTTTCATACAGCCTATCAATCATCAGAAAATAAAATCTGTCTTTGAGGCATTTTCTAGAGAAGCTAATCCTTTCCCAAAAAACCTGGTCACTAATCCTTGGTGGACCAGGCTGACTGGTTATAGTCTGGAAAATGATGAAACTTCCATTCTAAGTGGTTAAAGTGTCCTCTTTACACTATTTTCCCTTTCGACTCTCAAACCAGGCACATAAAAACACATTCATCTACATCTACGGTCTTCTGGGTGACCTACCAGGATCGAAATCTCATTGAGGGCTGCCACAATTCTTGAACTGTGATAGATCAGAGTGTAATAATATTGTTCACTCCATGGTGATGTAGTTTTAGGATATTTAAGAGAACTAAAATGGTCAGACTAAATGACAAGAAGATGTATAGACGGATGAGTAAAGTTGGAGTTGCTTATCCTCCCATCCCCCAGTTCGGAGGTGAGGCTGGCTTTCCTTTCTATGCACATCCAGAGTTCATCCTATGCTAAATATCAAGGTCTTCCTAGGCACTAATCATGCTAGTTTTCCTTCTGGGGTGCCAATTTCGTTTTCTTTTTTCTTTTTTTTTTAGGAGAAGGTAGGTGCTCTTTTTGGTTCCCCTGCCATAGTTTCAGATAATTGAGTATGTATATATCCCCAAAGCACCTGAATAGTACCCCATAGCAAGGCCTAAAAACACTTGAGAGGGGCACTTTTTTCCACCAGTAATTAAAAATGTTCAGGATTTAAGTCACCTAGGCATGCCGCCTCTCACTGAAAATTCTATAATAGTTTGGGCTGGCAAGATACCACATACATAGAAAATGAAGCTGCTTTCAAATAGCACCATAGCTTTTTTTCCACTTAAATCCACAATTATACCCAAACGTGATGAAGGTAACTTTTTTCTTTCTCACATAATCTAAAAGGACACAGCTTTTATTTGCATTTAATGTACAGCCTCCTATAGTTTTATGAATGTCAGTTCATTTCCTTTTAACAACAAAGTGCACACATCTTTTTTTCTCTGAGCTCTTTTCTTGGAGCCAAGTTGTTGGGACCAAAAGTAAGATCAACGTGTGATGTGCTTTCTGATTTTAACCGTAGAATATTCTATAAATGAATAAAACTGTATCTTTCAGAAGCTCTTTTTGAAACTTAACACTGTCATTGATAATATTCAAGCAGTATTTCTTAGGCACGAAAAATTCACATCCAGCTCGGTTACAAACTATCTGAAAATACTCTGAGATCAAGTTAAACGATTACAAAAGGTACGGCCCCCTTTAGAGAGCATTGAAAAACCAAATGATCACATTTTTATTAAATAATTTCTCCAAAATACTGAAAAATAACAAATAACATTCAAAAGCATTAAAAGAAAAGATACACACGTCTTCGTGTTATTCGGAAATGAACCCTTGTAGGAAAGAAAGGAATTAGTGTATTATCGGCAACCTATGAGATTCTGCACTATTTACACGTTGCTGGTACCTCTATGCATATTATTGCCGAACTTCTAAAGCCTCTGGTTTTATTAAAGTGTTGGAGAGGCTGTGTGTGATGGTGCTTGTAAGTGTGTAAGCACCACCTTTCTCTGTCCCCCGTTCATACACTTGAGCCCAAGAGGAGATTTAGTAAACTAAACCTGCGCCGACAGACTCACTGCTGGAATGAGAAGGGTGGTCAGTGTGGGAGGCAGAGGACGACTTCCTCCGTGATCTGAATGGGACGGAACCTCAGCAACCTTCACTGCACACGGGGCCAGTCTCTGTTTCCCTCTTCCTCGAGAGCAAACCTTTTTGGTTTCTGAGACCGTTTCTGCCTGTATGAATGCTTGCACACACTATAAATCGTATAGGTTATCCATCAACATTTCTCTGACCCCTACAAAAAATATATAACATGTCGCGATAAAACAATCTCATCTAAAAATCATTCTTATGTTACACTGTACAAGCTATTTTACAATCATTTTAATAAATTGCATGTAAAGCTGCAGTAGCCCTTCCCTTCCCAGATTAGTGAATACCAATATGATATATATCTGAAACTATAACTAAATATAAAAATATATTAGAAGTTTCATATTTTTAATATTAGATGTTCAGCTTTCTATTACACAAATAATTTGGCCACCTAGAACAGAAATCAGATTTCTCGTGGCTTAGTTAAGTACATTCTGAATGTACAGAAAGTTGGTAAGGTGCACACAGAAAGGGCTACTACAGCTTCTATCTTGTTTAAAATAATTTCAAACATCGAGGAGGAGAAATTCACATGACTGTTGTTAAACTCTATGGCACACACAGGGATGTGATGGATGTATAGTTTTATGAACATGGAAGTCTGACATACAGCTCTAAATCAGAAAAATCAGTCGCTGAGCTTTCCTGTATCCCCAGGAAAGGTAGACCAATTGGTGACAAATGGGAATGTGAAAATGGGTGTCTAGCCACTTTTGCTGTATTAGAGATTTGGTTTTTGGGGGTAAAGTTTAGTGGGAGGAAATACTTGGTCTGATTAAAATCTCTCAGCTGTGTTTTCAGCTGGTCATTTGGAATCGTAACTTTTAAGAAGTTATACAAACTACAACGAAAGGTCCTGAAAGACAGCGTCCCAACTTTCTTGCCATCTAACCATTGCAGAGATAGGGCGTTAGATACAAACAGGGCCTCTTGGTAGTTGTTTTTTTTTTTTTTTGAAACCATCACCTATGGTTCACCCAGCAGGTCACTGGAGTAGGTGCTCTACACTGGTTAGGACGGTTAATTTGCACAATCTATATAATTCTCCACTGAAGCAGATATATACAAAATATGAGCTTTTTGACAAGAAAACTGGAGATTTGAGTCAATTTTTGTGGTCTTCTGACAGCTAAGTGCCATCAGGTTAGAAGCACCAACCCATTTTCACACAGAAGATTAATGTTTAGAGTTTATTTAGGAAAGCTATGAACTAGCTGCCCATCTTAAAACAGCTGTACAATAACTTGATTACAAAAATTATGTAGGAAAAAATGAGCAAGCATAGTTCACTGAATAGAAAGGAAATTGTTAAAACCAGACAGTGATAGCTATAAAAGGCACAACTTCCCTTTTCTGATAATACACTTGTAAACTTTTCAGGTTTCCATGCAGAAATCAAAAAACGCTACCCTAACTATACAGGGGGAGATAGGCCAACAAAAGATAGAGAAGATTTTGTCCAGCCAACTCTGAGAAGTCTGAGCAGAAAGTTCGTCACACACATTTGGGGCACTGGTGGTTTAGGTGCCATCCTTCTCTGACAGTGGAGGTTACCCCCGTGGTACTGTGTCTAATTTTTTGGGATCCATCAACTATCACTTTCTACTTTGCCCATCACTGAAAAGTGATGGCTCAACTGCTTCTGTTGCCAAGTCTTGGCCCTCTGTAAACCACATGTAGTGCGTATTCAAAAACAAAACGAAACAACAACAAACCGGACAAAAAGAAAAATGATAAACAAAACTGCTACAGGACAGATTGATAGTTTGTACAATGAAAGCTATGAATTCAACTTTCTTTAAGGCAAACCTTTCTTCTTAAGGCAGTCACTTTTGATGAAATAGAAGTTTTTTGATATTTCCACTTGAATATTTTGGTATCTGATTGGTGATGATTTCAGCTAACATCTCTGGGAATTCAACGCTCAAGGACTTATCCAAAAATGTCTGGAAGCAATACTTAAGGAGATTTTCAACCACCTACAAGAAAATACATAGTAATGATTAGTCTTAAAAATTATCCATAGGGACATCTC